GCGTGGGATCCCACCCATGGTGTCGGGTAAGGCGTGGGATCCCACCCATGGTGTCGGGTAAGGCGTGGGATCCCACCCACGGTGTGGGGTAAGACGTGGGATCCCACCCATGGTGTGGGGTAAGGCGTGGGATCCCACCCATGGTGTCGGGTAAGGCGTGGGATCCCACCCATGGTGTCGGGTAAGGCGTGGGATCCCACCCACGGTGTGGGGTAAGGCGTGGGATCCCACCCATGGTGTCGGGTAAGGCGTGGGATCCCACCCACGGTGTGGGGTAAGACGTGGGATCCCACCCATGGTGTGGAGTAAGACGTGGGATCCCACCCATGGTGTGGGGTAAGGCGTGGGATCCCACCCATGGTGTGGGGTAAGGCGTGGGATCCCACCCATGGTGTGGGGTAAGGCGTGGGATCCCACCCAGCCATGGATACCCACCCTGCCATGGATGCCCACCCAGCCATCTGTCCACCTCTCACAACGCGTCCGATTCAACGTGCAAGGGAGGAGACGGCATATACCGACTCCCGAAGAGGACTTTCGGCCAGCAGTGGCGCGCGAGCGTGCAATGGCAATGCTTCTGCACATTTCCCCTTGCGACTTAGAAAAGAAACGAGGGCAGATTGAGATACAAATAGAGCAATGGATTTTGGTATGTGTCTGTGCGGAGCTTTGCGTGGTGGATTCTCTCGGTGTTCTCAAGGCTTTTCCATTCGCAACTTGACCATGACCAGTTGATGTGTTTAGTTTGTTGCCCTTCCCCGGCACCTCCGATTCGCACGGTTGGCTTACGTACGTTGCGAAAGAAGTTCAACGTGCATATGTATATTTTTTTCCGTTTTGTTCATGTTGCTGCGGTAACCAGGTTTCCATTGTGTAACTGGTCCCTATAAAAAAAATGGATTTATTTACAATCTTATTTTATATTTTTAGGGCGCCTTAACTCAAGGTGCTTCATACTAAAGTTTAAAAGCTGTAACAAAAACGGAGTGATTTAGATGGCAAGGGCAGTGCAATGGCCGAGGATGAATGACCGTAACAGAGGGCACGTGAGGTCATGAAGAAAGGGCTCAAGGGGAGGGACGGGACAGGATGGATGGGCGGGGAAAGAGGAAGCGAATGGGCAATGGAGAAGAGGTCTTCATAGAGGAACAGAAGGAGTCTTCTTTGGTTCTTTCGGTAAAGTCACGTAGAATGAGAATAAAATAATAAATTGATAAAATAAAATAACACAATAATATTCTCACGACGTTTCACCATACAGTCTCGTCCCTTCACCTGATGAAGGCCGCTTGTGTTGTGGCCGAAACGTCGTGAGAATATTATTGTGTTATTTTATTTTATCAATTTATTATTTTATTCTCATTCTACGTGACTTTACCGAAAGAACCAAAGAAGATGAATCATTGCAGTCACGAAAGCTTTAAATAGAAATTGAACAGAAGGAGGTTAAGGTCAGGACTACTTTATGTACAGGGGCAGTGTTGAGTCTGTGGGCAGTGTTGAGTCTATTGGCAGTGTTGAGTCTATGGGCAGTGTTGAGTCTATGAGCAGTGCTAGTCTGTGGACAGTGTTGAGTCTTCGGGCAATGTTGAGTCTACGGGCAATGTTGAGTCTACGGGCAGTGTTGAGTCTACGGGCAATGTTGAGTCTATGGGCATTATTGAGTCTACGGGCAGTGTTGAGTCTATGAGCGCTATTAAGTTAAGGAAGGGTAGGGGGTGAGAGGTGGACGCGATAGAGGGATGCGTTGGGCTATAGGGGAGGGACGCGAAGGAGTGGAGAGGGGAAGCGAATGGGCAATGGAGAACAGGTCTTTAGCTGTGCCAAAATAAACCCAAATCAAAAGGAAATTATACAGGATGTTGTATACGATGAACGTCAAAACAAAGAAAAAGATCCCCCCCTTCCCCCTATATCCTTGGCAGAATTGGGGCAAGTGCTTTTAGCAAGCATCTTTGAAGGCCGGCAAAGCACACGGGGGTGTGGGTGGCCAACACCACGGCCGACCACCTTTGTCTCCCCAGTTTGGATGTTTGCTACACACTGCACCAGGTACTCATTTAATTATAAGTCAACATAGGGGAGGCCCAGGGGGCCGTCCATAAATGACGTCATGTGATTTTGGACGATTTTTGACCCCCCCCCCCCCCATCGTCACACGGCGTCACAAAAAAAGTCAGACCCCCCCCCCCCTCAAATATGACGTCACAAAGCTCTGACCCTCCCCAAAAAATAAAACATACTTCAAATCGCTTTAATCTATTGTCATTGCAGTGCGTATTTAATGTGCCGCTGCACTCTAATTAAGTAGAACGTGTTGTATATATTTATTTAAAGTAGCGCATTTTGATGTGACGTCACATTTCTCAAACCCCCCCACCCCTCCCTAGGTGCGTGACGGCCCCCAGGACCGGTTCATACAATCGTCACTGCTGTTGGTGGTCGTGAGCGGGAATCGACATTGGTTTGTCGGGCTCGTAGCGCAGCGCGCTAACCACTACACTGCCACTTCCCAGTATAAGATGAATGTCACAACCCAACACACACGAGTCATTAAGTGGAGCGCACACCACATACTGCACCCAGCTGTCGTGCCCGTGAGTTTCATGGTGGAGTTCAAGACGAGCGGAGTGCTTCTGTGTCTGCGAGATCATTTCATATCTAAGTGTAACCTCGCCAAAAGTGTTATACGACATATATAACCAGTAAGACTAAGATAGTCGTGTACGTTTGAACACAAATGGCTAAAACGATTTAATGAAATAATCTTCCATACTTGGAACTATCGGTAGCATGTATACTGTTCCTGTGACACATTATTCTACAAGTTCACGGCCCGCTCTTACAACATCACCTCTCTTCTTCTCCTGGCTTAACTGCTCCCGCCCTTCAACTCTCCCTTACCTGCCCTTCAACTCCCAAGCATGCCCTTCAACTCCCTTAACAGCTTCGACACAGTGTCTCATCGGCGGAGTCAGGCTTGTTTGAATGAAATTTGGTGACCTATCGGATGTCACAGGCAAGGTCCCCGGCCTCTGCTAGCTATGGGTCTCCTGCTTCGAGGAAAGAGCGTGTATAGGTATGTGTACGCAGTGTATACTATACTCTTTGGTTCTTTCGGTAAAGTCACGTAGGTATAAAATAAAATAAATCACGACGTTTCGGTCGCAACACAAGCGCCCGTCATTAGGTGAGAGCATGATCTCTCACCTGATGACCGACGTGATTTATTTTATTTTATACCTACGTGACTTTACCGAAAGAACCAAAGAGTATGAATTCCTGCGGTCACAAAAGCTTCAAATCAAGATTACGTATATACTGTATATCTATTTATAGCGACTTGCTTACCGTTTCTCTGTTTATCCTCTGTTTTATCCTTTTTGTTTGTTGATGTAAATTTCTGACCTGCCCCTACTGGACATCTGTGAAAAAGAGCTTCATAGCTCATCGGATTCCTCCAGTTTAAATATTATGATTCTGATGTCTTGTTAAAGCGGCTCTAATCCGCGGTGGCGAGATGTTAACTCCATCGCCTGGTTTGCAGGAGGTCGTGGGTTTGATCCCGATCCTGACGCCTGTACATTTGGAGTTTGCATGTTCTTCCGGTGGTCGAGTGGATTTTTCTCCGGGACTTTAGGTTTTTCCCTCCACATTTAGAATCAACATCGCGCGTTTAGAATATTTGGCTACGATCAATTTCCATATGATAAGCCACTTCGTTGAGCTTTCATTTGTGGCCAGGTCGCTTCTGACAAATAACTAATTAGCTCGGTGCGCCTTACCTGGTAAAATATATTTTTTTCGCTGTTATAGTTTAGTTTGATTTCTCTCAAATCCGACCAGAGAGCCGATTGATCCACAGTCAAAAGCTACCTTCAAATAAATCTAAGCCACATGCAGTGGGCGGTCGAACTCGCAGTGCAGTTCTGCAAGTAGGCGGAGTGCAAGCACAGCATCCATCGTAGATCGATCACAAGCCTCACAGCCCAACTAATCACCCGGTCTGTGTATAGCCAATGAAGAACAAGTGTTGGACATTCCCATTTCCTACAGCGAGCCCCGTTCCTACAGTGAGGCAGAGCAAGCCTATCCATATAAAACCATTTAAATGCTGTACGTCATCGCAACCAGCAACCAGTCACAACACTCTCACGTTTCCTTCATCATCATCCCAAGCTCCTCATGCTACCAAAGACAAACATCCCCCTTATAGCCTGAACAGACGTTTGGGTTAAGTGCTGTTAGCGAGCACATATTCATTACCAGCACGGCGCACGAGGGGGTCGGTGGCCAGCACCACGCCCGGCCGCATTTGTCCCCTGGTGGCGATGTTTACACACCACACCAGGTACTTATTTGAGGTTGAGTTGACCTAGGGGAGGAGGTCAAAGAAACCCAGTTCAGATAATCGTGGCCGTGGAATCGAACTCGGGCGCCACGTTCGTAGCGCAATGCGGAGACCACTGCACTAAACACGTACAAAGATACGGATCTGCATATAGCCTGAACAGACTCTTGGGGCAACTACTGCTACTCATTTTATTTTAACAGGTAAGGTCCACTGAGCTAAGTGAATTGGCAACAAATGATAGCTCAACGAAGTGGCTTATCATGTGTTTATAGTAACCAAATACTCTAAACGAATGTTGATTCTAAATGTGGCGGGGAAAACTGGAGGACCCGGAGAAAAAGAGAGAATATTGCCACAAATAATCTCAACAAAGTGGCTTTTTAGTTTGGAAATTTATAGAAGCCAAATGCTCTCAACGTATGTTTCTAAATGTGGAGGGAAATCAGAAGACCTGGAGAAATATCCATGCGCCCACGGGGAGAACATGCAAACTCCTAATATACAGCAGCAGGCATCAGGGTCGGGATCGAACCCACGCGCTCCTGCATACAAAGCGGGGGAAATAATATCTCGCCACCACGGCGAATGCTGTGATTGAGCACCTCGGTGGAGACCGGGTACCTGCACCCAGGTGTTGGCAGGGTACCTGCAGGGCTGACTCTGCTGCCGAGGCCTCCTGATCGCTGTTCCGTCCACGTTCCATGGCGCCGCCGCCTCGCGCTAGTGGAGCGAGGGTGCCTCTGGGGCCTGCGGACTCGCGGTGAGTGAGCAGGGTGAGCCGTCTCTCACCGTCCCACGTCACTCACCGCGGAATGTGCCCCAAGGCTCTTTGGCGGTAACTCCGCTCACGCACAGGGTGGTGGTGGTGGTGACACTTTTGCCTCACAACCAGAAGGACCTGGGTTCGATTCTTCACCTGGGTGCCTTTCTCTGTGCGAAGTTTGTTTGTTCTCCCCCTGTTCTGTGAAGTGTATGTTCTCTTTCCGTTCTGTAGAGTGAGGGAGTGCAATGTGTGTGTTTTCCCCTGTTCTGGTGAGAGTGAATGGAGTTTGTGTGTTCTTCCCCTGTTCTGCAGTGAGAGTGAGTTTGTATGTTCTCCCCTTGTTCTGTATAATGAGTGGAGTTTGTGTGTTCTCACCCTGTTCTGTGGAGTGACAGTGAGTGAGTGTAGTTTGTGTGTTCTCCCTCTGTTCTGCAGTGAATTGGTGGAGTGTGAATGATATCGCCCCCTGTTATGGAGAGTGAGTGTGCTGAGTTTTTATTCTCTGCGTTTGTTCTGCACGTGTTTCCTCCGGGTTCTACAGTTTCCGCCCATAGCTACAAAAACATTTCCACTTTGTAACTATAATAACCTAAATGACCCCATTCTGAAATTTACGCTGCAAATTACTCAATTGGGATTACACAGCAGCAGTACTTGTCAGGACCCTCCTAAAATATATTCTTGAGATTCAGTCAGGCTTTATTCCTGGTTAAGCAGCGCAGTGGTAATAATAATTTCACTCGTTAAGAAATGCAAATACAGGTCACACGGCATTGCTCACCGACCTACTCGGCCCACGTAGGAGGTTCTTGAATCTGGCATTTGAACTAATTATATTTCAATTAGGGGTTTCTACCTGTCCGGGAATCGGCATCTGTGTTTGGCTGGCAGCACATGATTTGTACCAAGATCTGGTGGCATCGTCTTGAACTTTAATTTAGTAGGAAAAGGCATTTGAAGACTTTCACCGAAGAGTATTATAATCGTGATAATTGGACACTGAATCTTACCAGTGGAAATTTTTCTTGCAATAACCGGGGGTTGATTCAGATACTCAGTGAGCCTGAAAATATTTCTGCACCCGAAATAGCGGATTAAGTGTACCTCTCACTATGAATGGGGATACGAGTCACGTGCCTTCGCCAATCTTACAGGGAGCCGGAAAAAATATTCGGTGACAAATCTGCAATCCCTGAAAACAGCATACAGAGCGTGAACCTAAATGCAAGCGCGTGTTCATTGCTAGAGAGTATACGGCTCTGTATAAGCACAACCCGGTAACCTTATGAGACCTCCTTTGCCAGAAACAAGATATAGGAATAGGTTTTACCCTTTTAACTGGCACAAAAACTGACACCTTTATTCAAGGCATCATGTTTGCAATGACCACAACACAAGCAGTCAAAATTCAAACAAAAAAGACAACTCTGATAATAATATGCACTGCCCTTGAATTTGATTGGTCCACACCCAAGACAGCTTTTCTTAGAGCCTAGTCTCCATTGGTGTTGGACCAGAAGACGCCAAAAGACATTTTGACTGCTTGTGTTGTGGTCATTGCAAACATGATGCCTTGAATAAAGGTGTCAGTTTTTGTGCCAGTTAAAAGGGTAAAACCTATTCCTATAAACCGGTAACCGTTTGAAACCAGATTTTTTTTTTGCCTATCGGTAACTCCATCCTGCTCTCTCGAGTTCTCGCCTTGCTAAATAAAACAGACTTGAGCATGTACATGGATGGATCGATAAATGATCCTTATGGTGGTACCCCGGGGTACCAAATAATACAAAATGGCAGAGGCAATTAAATATTTTATTTCTGGGACACTATTTTTTCCAGGGGTGTACTTAACTCCGCGACCTGGGGTACCAATCAATCTGAAATCAGTGCTACTCCTCGATGTCGAAACGCCAAACATTAGCATAAAACGAACGTTATCGAAAAATTCAACTTTGTATAGTGCATCGTGTACAGATCGTCGAGATGAGTCGAATGCCGCATCGCCGACCATCAACAGACTAAAAATTACTGTATCACGGAAATTATGCGAGAGCCGGGCTACTATGGTACCCCGGGGTACCGCCATAAGGTTCAATTATGCGTCGTACATATCTTTTGTTAACCCACGCCTTGCTCCAGAGAGCCACGGCTCAAAGCCATGAGCTTAACTTGTGCCTGCTCTGAGCACAGTGCCTGCCACTCTCAGGATTCCCATGAGGCTGAGCCAGAGCCAGAACTGCACGGTGGCTGAGTCGCTCAACTGACGCAACTTTGAAACGAATTGAGCGACTCAAGCCCGAGCCGAGTCTCAGTGTTAGGTTGGGGCCGAGCCATGACCAGTGAAGCAGTGAAGCATCTAGCCAGCCCTTAACGGATGACGAGAGCACCCGGAGAGCTGGATACTAACTACTCAGTATGGCGAGTCCTCGCTTTTAACGCGTGGTATTCATACAACACGTTTTCGCTGTAATGCAGTTCTTCCATTCGGGAATGCACAACGCGGAACGCGCTCATTATAACTAAACTAAACTGAAATACAAATGATTTATTTTACCAGGTAAGGCCCACTTAGCCATATAGCTCTTTTTCAGAAGTGACCTGGCTACGAATGATAGGTCAAGGGGCCGTCCATAAATGACGTCACGCGATTTTGTACGATTTTTGACCCCCCCCCCTCATCACACGGCGTCACAAAAAGACAGACCCCCACACATATGACGTCACAAAGCTCTGCCCCCCCCCAAAAAAATATATAAAACATGCTTCAAATCGTTTCAAACTATAGTCATTGTAGTGCGTATTTAATGTAGGAGAAAACATGTATTAAAAAGTATATTTAATTAAGTAGAACGTGTTGTCTATATTTATTTAAAGTTGCGCATTTTGATGTGACGTCACATTTCTCAACCCCCCCCCCCCCCCTCGTCACACATCGTCACAAATGTCTGACCCCCCCCCCCAGGTGCGTGACGTCATTTATGGACGGCCCCCAACGAAGTGGCTTATCACGTGGAAATTTTAAGCAGCCAAATACTCAAAAATCATGTTTCTAAATGTGAAGGGCCCGGAGAAAAATCCAGGGTTAGGATCGAACCCACGACCTCCTGTATACCAGGATAGGTCGTTAACATCTTAACAGAACACGCACCGATATAACGCAGAACATGCCCTGTTATAATGTGGTTTCTGGGCGGTCGACGACTAACTACTCTCTTGAGCTGCACAGCTGAGCGGAGTGATACCGCAATGCAGCGGCGTACCTTCAATTATTTGTCCCGCCATCTTACTGCGTGTAACTCACCATCATATCTCGCCAAACTTTATCGTTACATTATTTATGGGGCAATTGTTTGCACTTTTGGTCTGAACAGCATTTGGTCCCAGAAACGTTTAAATTTCGGCACCAAATTCACAGTCTACTAGTTCTGCGTTTCGTCAGTTTTGTATGGTGCGGAGGCCTGGACATTGGTTCAAGCAGATTTGGATCAGCTGCAGTCCTACCACACGCGATGCTAAAGGTGCCTCCTTGGCATCCAATGGGACTGAATGGGGGGTGGGAGGGGTGGGGCTGGGTGGGGAGGGGCTGGTCACTCCGTGGTGCCCTTATAAAACTCAACGTTTAACCTACAGTGAGGGAAAAAAGTATTTGATCCCCTGCTGATTTTGTACGTTTGCCCAATGACAAAGAAATGATCAGTCTATAATTTTAATGGTAGCTTTATTTGAACAGTGAGAGACAGAATAACAAAAAAATCCAGAAAAACGCATGTCAAAAATGTTATGAATTGATTTGCATTTTAATGAGGGAAATAAGTATTTGACCCCTCTGCAAAACATGACTTAGTACTTGGTGGCAAAACCCTTGTTGGCAATCACAGAGGTCAGACGTTTCTTGTAGTTGCCACCAGGTTTGCACACATCTCAGGAGGGATTTTGTACCACTCCTCTTTGCAGATCTTCTCCAAGTCATTAAAGTTTCGAGGCTGACGTTTGGCAACTCAAACCTTCAGCTCCCTCCACAGATTTTCCATGGGATTAAGGTCTGGAGACTGGCTAGGCCACTCCAGGACCTTAATGTGCTTCTTCTTGAGCCACTCCTATGTTTACTTGGGCCGTGTGTTTTGGGTTATTGTCATGCTGGAATACCCATCCACGACCCATTTTCAATGCCCTGGCTGAGGGAAGGAGGTTCTCACCCAAGATTTGACGGTACATGGCCCCGTCCATCGTTCCTTTGATGTGGTGACGTTGTCTTGTCTCATTAGCAGAAAAACACTCCCAAAACATGTTTCCACCTCCATGTTTGACGGTGGGGATGGTGTTTTTGGGGTCATAGGCAGCATTCCTCATCCTCCAAACACGGCGAGTTGAGTTAATGCCAAAGAGCTCCATTTTGGTCTCATCTGACCACAACACTTTCACCCAGTTGTCCTCTGAATCATTCAGATGTTCATTGGCAAACTTCAGACGGGCATGTATATGTGCTTTCTTGAGCAGGGGGACCTTGCGGGCACTGCAGGATTTCAGTCCTTCACGGCATAGTGTTACCAATTGTTTTCTTGGTGACTATGGTCCCAGCTGCCTTGAGATCATTGACAAGATTCTCCCGTGTAGTTCTGGGCTGATTCCTCACCGTTCTCATGATCATTGCAACTCCACGAGGTGACATCTTGCATGGAGCCCCAGGCCGAGAGAGATTGACAGTTATTTTGTGTATCTTCCATTTGCGAATAATCACACCAACTGTTGTCACCTTCTCACCAAGCTGCTTGGCAATGGTCTTGTAGCCCATTCCAGCCTTGTGTAGGTCTACAATCTTGTCCCTGACATCCTTGGAGAGCTCTTTGGTCTTGGCCATGGTGGAGAGTTTGGAATCTGATTGATTGCTTCTGTGGACAGGTGTCTTTTATACAGGTAACAAGCTGATATTAGGAGCACTCCCTTTAAGAGTGTGGTCCTAATCTCAGCTCGTTACCTGTATAAAAGACACCTAGGAGCCAGAAATCTTTCTGATTGAGAGGGGGTCAAATACTTATTTCCCTCATTAAAATGCAAATCAATTTATAACATTTTTTACGTGTTTTTCTGGATTTTTGTTGTTGTTATTCTGTCTCTCACTGTTCAAATAAACCTACCATTAAAATTATAGACTGATCATTTCTTTGTCAGTGGGCAAACGTACAAAATCAGCAGGGGATGATATACTTTTTTCCCTCACTGTATTTTATTTCTCCACAACTGTTTCTCCATAACTATTGAAAGGTGCTTTGCATCCTATCAGCAGAGGGTTATTAATCAAGGTCGTGATGTCCAGCAAGGTACCTGCTGATTGGAAAGACAGTATAATTGTTTCTCTGTTCAAAGGGAAAGCATCCCGTACAACATGCATCAATTATAGACCTATATCCGTACTTTCAGTACCGGGAAAGGTTTTTCACATGTACTTCTGGGCCAGCTGCAACCACACTCCTAACAAAACACCATCGCCCACAGCAATCGGTATTCACAGCTTGGTCAATCTAAGATGAATGCTGTGTCCATTCCTCCTAGTTCCAGAACTGCACCGTGAGTTCGACCACCCATGGCATGTCACTTACATTGATTTGAAGGCAGCTTTTGACTCAGTGGATTGATTGGCTCTCTGGTCTGCCTTGATTGGAATTGGGGTCCCTGGCATCCTCCTGGACCTTATGAAGGATCTGCATGCAGGCACGTGCAAATATTCGTGTCGGGTCCGGTTTTTCACTACAATTCGAGACCACATCTGGAGTACATCAAGGATGCATCCTTGCACCGGCGCTCTTCTGTCAGGCGATCGACTGCATATTTGAAAAGATGACCCATGACCTTGAAGTCAGGATTGGCCGGCACTACTTAATTGACCTCGACTCTGCTAATAATGCAGCCTTATTTGTTCAGAGCCCTAAACATTCACACCAGTCCTCCACCATTTCCACAACCATCCATGAAAAATGGCACTCAATGTTTTGTGGAAGAAAACAAAAGTTCAGAACTTAGGCTGCAGACCTCCAGCACTCTGCATAATCAAAGGCAATGCTGTCGAAGCAGTGGAGGAATTTCTCTACCTGGGATCTGTACAGACAACTGATGGATGATGTAGACCTGATATCATGTGCCGGATAGGTCTGGCCTCAGGAATAATGGTCTGAACTTTATTTGGTCCCAGAAATGTTTAAATCTGGGCAGTGCTGTTTTATCAGTTTTGTTGTATCGTGCAGAGGCATGGACATTCAAGCTGATTTGGATTGGCTGCAGTCCTTCCACATGCATATAGTGACACAGCTATCACTTTTTGAATACGTCGCCCATCTGGATGTGCAAACGTCAGCAAATAATACACTTCAGTTGGCGATTGACGTTCGAAGTGGACTGCGACTCTCAAAGGAATGGCGCCACCCCCGTGGTCGCTTCCCGTGATCCATGGATTAAACAAATTACTCGAGACGCCGGTTTATGGCAGCCAAAGCAGTTTATGTGAATACTGTCACAAGAGGTCACAAGTTTGGCGCAACGGTCCTTCGCAGACTATGCATGATGAATGAATTAATGTTGTAACTCGCTGACCTGCCAGCCCCTACTGGACATCTTTGAATAAGAGCTTCATAGCTCATCTGATTCATTTTCCAAGATACATAATCGGATTCCAATAATAAAATAATAAAGTGTCACGAGAAACGATTCCACAACAAAGCTACATTTAAAACAACCTTTACTTTGTTACAAACGGAATAAATTCAATCAGACACACTTTGCAAAAAAGCCTTGCGCACACTCATAACGTACTCGATCTCATCTCACGCACGGACACCCAGCCTCTGCCACAATCCAATAAAAACTGACTGCGAACCAATCACTCATCATGCTGATATTAACCAATCAAAAAAAGGGGGCCTTTCACATATTAACCCATGGGATTACTCGATCCAGGGATTACTCGATCCATGGATCACATGCCAATTAATCGACATAGTGATTAACCCTGGATGAATTGATACTCTCACATGGCTATTGGATCTACTGTAAACAGAATCAATACAAAAGATACCTTGAATCAGATTCCACAAGTCCATATATGGGATAAGACACGTCCCTACGGGCAACGTCACTCGTACTTTCTCCCATGTGGAAATAGACATGACCTTACGGGAAACACCACGCCTACTTTCTCCCATATATGGACAGATACAAGTCCCAACAGGCAACGTCATGACTACTTTCTCCGATATATGGGGGGAAACACGACCCTACGGGCAATACCATGCCGACTGTCTCCCAAATATTTGAACAGAGACACCCCTACAAGCAACGCCGCACCTACTTTCTCCCATGATGGACAGATACGTCCCAACAGGCAATGCCACGCCTACTTTCTCCCATATATGGACAGATACAAGTCCCAACAGGCAACGCCATGACTACTTTCTCCCATATATGGGGGGAAACACGACCCTACGGGCAATACCATGCCGACCGTCTCCCAAATATGTAAACAGACACCCCTACAAGCAACGCCACACCTACTTTCTCCCATGTGGAAATAGACATGACCTTACAGGGAACACCACGCCTACTTTCTCCCATATATGGACAGATACAAGTCCCAACAGGCAACGCCATGACTACTTTCTCCCATATATTGGGGGAAACACGACCCTACGGACAATACCATGCCGACCATCTCCCAATATGTGAACAGAGACACCCATACAAGCAACGCCCCCCCCTCTTTCTCCCATGATGGACAGATATGTCCCAACAGGCAATGCCACGCCTACTTTCTCCCATATATTGGAAGACACCCTTATGGGAAACACCACAGCTACTTTCTTATATGTATGGGCTGATGGGTTATTTCGTGGGGTATCCGATTGTATCGTATTACAGCACCCCTGTCACTTGCACGTCTCCGTCCTCGCATGGATCTTCTCATGCCGGCGCAGATCGCCCAGCTGCACGAAGGACTTGCTGCACAGTGCGCAACGGTGCGGCTTCTCGCCAGCATGGTAGCGCCGGTGTGTCTTGAGGTAGGAGAAGTCCGAGAAGGCCTTCCCGCACTCGGTGCAACGGTGCGGTCGCTCGGTGGCGTGCGCTGAGCGCGCGTGACGCCGCAGCGCGTGCGGGTAGGAGAACGCACGGCCGCACTCCCGGCACGCGTGCGGTCTGCCACCGGTGTGCGCGCGCTCATGCGCACGCAAGTTGCCCGACTGGGAAAACGACTTCCCGCAGGCTGCGCACACGTGCGGCCTGTGGCCTACGTGCGTCCGCCCATGCCGGCGCAGACCCGACGCATTGGCGAATGACTTGGCGCACTCACGGCAGACATGTGGCTTGGCCCCAGCCCGCAGGGCAACAGCCGGACCCGCCGAGGCCCCGACCTCATCCGTCGAGCCATCAACGTCGTCGTCTGAGGCGTCCGCGGCGCAGCCCTCCTCGCCGGCCCCCTCCGGCAGGCGACGCTCGGCATGTTGCGTAAACTCGGCTGGGCGGCAGAACCCTTCGCCGCAGGAAAAGCAAGCGTGCGGCTTCTCCTCCGCCGTCCGGGCGGTCTCTGCCGTGGCTTCGCGTCGCTTCGTCCGCCGGCGTGGCTCGAGAAGCCCTCGGTCGCAACCGAGCGGCGCCTCAGCACTCGCTGCCCCCGTCGCGTGAGTCCGCTCGTGCCTCTTGAGATTCGTGACGTCGGCGAAAGTCTTGCCGCACTCGCTGCAGGCATGCGGCCGCTCGCCCGAGTGGGTGCGCGCGTGGCCCCGCAGCGTGTGCCGGTACGCGAAGGCCTTCCCGCACTCGATGCATGCATAGGGCCTCTCTCCCGAGTGCGTGCGCCGGTGCTTGCGCAGGTTGCTCGACTGTGTGAAGGCCTTGCCGCACTCGCGGCAGACGTACGGCCGCTCGCCCGTGTGCGTCTTCAGGTGGCGCTGTAGGTTGCTCCGGTGGTCAGTGTTGTAGGGGCACAGGAAGCACTGGAATGGCTTCTGCCGTTGTCCGGTGCCGTCCGCCGTCTCTGCTGCGGGGAAGAATCATGATCAGAATCTTTATTCAGAAAATCCAATGAGATATGAAGCTCTAATCTAGCCGTCCAGTAGGGGCTGGTGTGTCAAGTGAGTTACAACAAATACGAAAATCGATATGAGCACAAAGTAGAGAAAAGGTAAACAAGTTATTATAAATAAAGAAAAATCCATTATACAGGCAGTCATCGACTATGAATGGGTTACGTTCCTGGGACCCATTCATAAGTCGATGTTTTAGTATCTTTGAACTAAACATTGAATTGTACATAAGGTTAAATAATAAAGAGAAGCATTGTGAAACTCCTAAATAAAAATAAATTTGTATGCAATACTTAATATCGTGGGCTTATCGTTTACAATTTCGACCGATCGCGGGCAACTTCTCTGGAAACCAAATTTAGCTATTTCGGTGGTTTGTTTTAGCCTTTCGCGGATATACTGTACACAAGTATTACTCGAGACGCTTCTCGAGTGATGGTGTTGTGTGGCTGATACTGTGGTGTAGGGCAGGCGAGGGACGGGAGGCAGTCAGTGACACCTCAACCTTTGCCGTGCAAGCTCTCGCGGACAGAGACAAGCACCCCCTGTATAGCCTATTAACAAACTGTTGGGACAAGTGCTGTTAGCGAGCACCTATGAAGGCCGGCATGGCACAAGCGGGTGGGTAGCCAGCACCACGCCCGGCCGCCTTTGTCTCCTCATTGGCGATGTTTACACATTGCACCAGGTAACCATTTGAAGCCGAGTTGACCTAGCGGAAGCCCAGGACCGATTTAGATAATAATCGGTCCTGGGCTTCCCCGATTCAGATAATCATCACTGGTGTTGGGCTTGAGCTGGAATCAAACTCGGATTGCCGGGTTCGCGCTAACTGCTTCGCTACCGTTCCCTACTCACGGACAAACACACACACCCATGTTGGATCATCATCGGTAAGTACAGCATATATTTAGTATTAATACTATTACATGTTTATTACAATTATATAGTTTTTAGTTCATTTGCATTACAGTACAGTACTTATGTAGTGGCTTCGAATTAGGTGCACACACACACAGCTTGGAGGCAACACTATTTATTAGAACGGTAAGTAATATAAAAGTGTACATAAGGTGGTGACCACCTTTCTCAACTCACTAACACTCTGGAACACTATACAGCGAGACCCAGGCAGGCAACGGGCTGCCTGGTCCCAGACGACGACCCAGGACTTGAGGATCGATGATGTCGTCTTCACTTCGGGGTTGAACAGCCCCGCTCTGCATTCACACCCAGCTTATAATCGCTCCGGCGTGGCCGGCTCCGCCTAGGTCACGCCTCCCTTCCCCCACCTCTGGGAAGGTCGGGGTCCTCCACCACGTGACCCCCCAGGCACTCCCTTGAGGCCCCCAGCCCTCGTACAGGTCGACACAGTAGTGACGTCCTATGTCACTACACTTATATCAATTGTCATGTCTATTTTTAGTTACCGTGTACCTAACCCTATTATTTATTTATTGAATAAAGCGGTTTGGGCATTTGCGGCACTTTACAAGAACATAACTCCACCGATATTCAAGGGTTTTTATATATCGTATATAAAAAAAATGAAGTAACATAAAAATATATATCTGTTTCGTTTTCATTTACCTTGAGTCCTGGAGGATCACTCCGCCGAACAAAATAGTTTTACGAATCAGTTCAAAGTATAACCGAACATTCGCAAGTCGGATGGTTAAAAATCATAACATCGAATGGCGGTTCGTTTGTAAGTGCCGATGTTTGTAAGACGGATGCTCATATCGCGGGGACCGCCTATATTTTTTTTACAAATTACACAAGCACATGCATTCCTTCCGATTTATCAACAGAAAATGTAAAGGCAGCAAAACAACAACAGTCCCAGACCACATCAAGACAACACACAGTCCCTCAAAATGTAACTATTGATACACGGGTCATGTTCAAAGTTACAAATCACATTTGCTTGCGGAGCTGGATTTAGCCGATGCTGTGCATATCTCGTTAGTATTCTTTATTGTGATTAACGCTCGTTACCTAGAAAAGCGTCCCTGAGAGACGCGGAGAGAGCTGGAGTGCTCACGCGATTACGCCAAGTCCTCTCTTAACACGCGGGGTTTACACAACACATTGTCACTCTAACACGGTTGTTCCATAAGGGAACAGTTTCCACACAACGCGGAACATGCACTCCATTAGAACGTGAAAGACTCCCCGTCATAACGTGGAACACGCCAGTTATAACGTGGAACGCGCACCCCGTTATAAAGCGGAAGGCGACCCGTTATAATGCACAACGCGCGCTGTTATTCCGCGGTTTCTGAGCGGTTGACGATGAACTTTCTTGAGCTGTGCGGCTGAGCTGTACCGTGATAAAATCTGAAATTATACATTAACGCACCGATATACCCTAATTATATATATTTCTTCCTGCCTCAGTAGTCCACCTGCTGTATTTTTTCACCTGAAGACAATTGCTTATGTTGCGATCAAAACGTTGTGATTTTTTTCTTTTTCTATCTATGTGACTTTACCGAAAGACCCAAAGAGTATACCCCAGTTATTTGTCGCACCATCTCACCGCATGCGTGTAGTACATCATATCTTGCTAAACTTTATCGTCACGTTTTTTTTTATGGGGAAACTGTTTTCGCTTAACGCGGCACTTTTCATGGAACACATCTATCACTGCCTTAAAAGAGGAATTACTGTGCATCAGATCGCGTGTCGTGACTTAAAACTCACCAACACATGGGGCGGCAGGGTGGTGGGGCAGCGCTTGTTGTGTCTCACAGCAAGAATCGCCCGAGTTTGATTCCCGACTCGGGCGCCGTTCTGTGAGGAGTCTATACGTTCTCCCCCTGTTCTGCATGGGTTTCCTCCGGGACCTCCGGTTTACTCCCATAACTGAAACAAAAACACACAATGTTACTGACATTGTATGCATGTTGAACTTTTTTCGCACCATACATAGTCAACCGTGCTAAAATTTGTAATCCCTCGTTATTTACGAACTTGCTATTCGCCTATTTGGCTATCCGCCAATCGCATCTGAAATTCTTCTCAACTGTGTGTCAAACACGACTCTAGATCAAACATGACTTGATATCATTCATCATTAATTTGAATGTAAGAACCAACTTTTTTCTGATACAGACACCATATATTCTGCTACTAAAAATGAAAAATTCAAGGCTTCACGCAAAACACAAGGATGTTCTAGAGGTCCCCTGCCTTACCTGACACCACAAAGACAAAGACCCACCGTATAACCTTCAACAGACCGTTAGGGAAAGTGCTGTGAGTGAGCACCTAAACTATTAAAACTAGGTTTATTTTACCAGGTAAGACCCACTCAGCTATATAGCTCTTGTTCAGAAGCAACCTGGCCACAAATGATAGCTCAAGGAAGTGGCTTATCATTAAATGTAAATGTATAGCAGCAAACTACCCTAAAACACATGTTTCTAAATGTGCAACCACGGGAAGAACATGCAATTTTTAAATATACAGGCGTCATGGTCAAATCAAACTCATGACCTGTAGATAGTTAACATCTCGCCACCGCGGCGCCCCTATTGAGGCCTTTGTCCCCCAAATGTGGATGTGTACACACCACACCAGGTTCTCATTTAAGGCTGAGTCGACCTATGATGGGCTCAACTGGCTCCAAAGTCAAAGATCCCCCATATAGCCTAAGCAGACTTTTTTGGTAAGTGCTGTTTTCGAGCACCCACGAAGACCGGCATGGTACACGAGGGGGTGTGGCCAGCACCACGCCCAGCCGCCTTTGTCTCCCCAGTGGTGATGTTTACTCATCGTACCAGGTACTCATTTGTGGCTGAGTCAACCTATGGGAGGCCCAGGACTGGTTCAGATAATCGACACTAGTGTTGGTGATCGTGAGCGGGAATCAAACTTGGGTCGTTAGGTTCAGAACGCAACGCGCTTACCACTGCGCCACCGCTCCCCACAATGAGCGAGCCCACTTCCATGCCTTTGTCACCACAATGCCGTGACTCACCCGCCTCCTCACCTTTCCCCACCCGCCTCCTCACCTTTCCCCACCCACGTCCCAATGCTCGGCGTCTCTTCGCACTCCTGCTTGACGCTCACTGCTCCGGGTAAACGTGAGTCCGCCCCACGCGCTTCCCGCTCCGTGCCTGCATGTGAAGACCACTCGTCACCATCAACAATCATGGTCCTGACAACCTAATACCAGTGGACTGCTGGCGCCATTCCTAGAGCACGAGGCTATCACGACAAAAGGCGCTCCGTTTCACGAAGCATGTAGTAGTTTCACAGCAGGAAGCGATGATTACTACAGTGTGTTATCCATGAGGTTTTTTTTTCAGTTAGATCGTGTGAATATAAATGTGTCATTAAACCTGCTACCACCCGACACAGCCAATTAGTAAAATTTGGCACGTAAACAAAACATACCAAGTAGTTATTAGTTCAGCACACCGGTGTTTTGGAGAGATTAAACCTACAACATTTACAATTCGAGTATGACGTTTCGCCGGTAATTACAACAATGCTCATCAGGCGACAGCCAGAATTGTGGATAAATCCTCCTGTTTCGGTCTTAAAAATAGAGATAAATGTGATAGCTTCACTGTGAGCCGACCAAATGAGAAGCCCAGAGAGGGGTTTAATGTTGTCATATAAATTACAACGGATATCTATTATTATTTGGGTTATTCACAGTTAATCAACATCCCACGAACAGGAATTAGCAAATTTGGCAAATTTTGACGACGCTGGCACATGATGGCCTTACTTGATTCGAATGTCAACGTTCACTGAGGAGACAGCACGTAGTAGTTTACAGTTAACAGCGCATAGTAGTTTACAGTTAGCGCCACACACACACCGCAGTGATAGTCTGGGTGGTCTGCTGGGTTAGATCCATGAACTTCTTCCCTGCAACAAGCAGGCCACTTGAGCCGCATCACCACCAGGGTTCTCATTCCCTCTGAATGAACATCGGGTCACGTGATTCTGATGCTTCTACACATGTGGCTCACCGAGCGGCATGCTCTGACGGGAAGGGGTAGGAGGAACGCAAAGGGCGGCAGGGTGGTAGATATGGGAAGTGGAGGACCCGGAAAAAAGCCATGCAACACAAGGACACATGCAATTTCCATGAGGCGCCCGAGTCAGGACTCAAATCTTCTTGCTGTGAGCCACGAGCATTACCACTCCGCCGCCGCCGCCTTGCCGCCCACGTTGATAGATCGGATACGGAACGGCTTGCTCATGGTCACTGCTGGCGCCAGGGACTCCATGAGAGACTGCTCTGGAGGGTATTGCTCTGCTCTTCCGGGCCGTTTAGGCACTTTGGAAGAGATGGGAGGTAACCAGGGCCGTCTATAGGGGGGTGCGGGGCCCGTGGCAAACCCCACTGTGTGGGCCCCCCGGATGCCTTCAAACTAAACGGGAAGTATTACATCTGACAGCGTGACGTCAAAGTGCGGAGGCCCCCAAAGCGCGGGGCCCGGGGAAGTCGCCCTGATTCACTGTACCCTAGCGACGGCTCTGGGTGGCGCGTCACGCATCGCAGGAAGAAGTACCTGGGTTCGATTCCCGACTTGGGAGCCTGTATGCGTGGAATATGTATGTTCTCCCCCCTGTTCTGAGTGGGTTTCCTCCGGATTCTCTGGTTCCCTACCATAGCAAAAAAAACATACACTATGTAACTATAATTAACCAAATAACCCAATACTTAAAATTGCACTGCAAATTGCTCCATCGGGATTACACAGCAGCAGCACTTGGCAGGACCCTCCTAAAACGATTGAGATTCAGTTAGGCTGTATTCCTGGGCAAACAACGCAAGCGATAATAATTTCGCTAGCTATTAATTGCAAATACAGGTCAAACGCCATTGTTCTGCCCACATAGGATGATGTTCTTGAGTCTGGCATTTGAACTTATATTTCAATTAGGGTTGTTACCTAATTAGAGTCTGTATGTTTTACCCCTGTTCTGCATGGGTTTCCTCAAAAGCAAAAAAAAATACAGTGTAACTGGTATTGGCCAAAAAAATCCCAATGCTGAGAAAATTACGCTGCAAATCACTTAATTAGGATTATACAGAAGCATCACCTACTACCGCGAAAACCTGGCAGGACCCTCGTGAAAAAGACTCACTGAGGCTTTCCTGGGTAAAATAGTATAACAGTAAAAATAAACACTCAAATGTGTAAATATTGCGAGGTGTTCACCGAACCTGATGTGAGTGCCAGGGATTGCTCCATCGCTCATTCTCTGCAAGGCAAAACGTCGAGAGGAGGCGAATTGGTGGCATGGACTCGTGCTCGGCTCATCTCACAAACGCGTTCGAGAACCAAACCCTTGAACTAAACATCTCACTTACAACATCCCTGCGTCTCTCACTCTCCCGAGTCTCACTCTCAGGGTCCGCGCCCATTCACACCGGCGATTCTTTAGCCTCTCGCGATTCCGCGTCTCGATTCTCCCGCGTCTCCGAGTCCGTGGTGCCCGCGTTTTAGGAATCGATTCTCTAAGGATGTAAACATCAAAATAGCGCCTAACCGCCAACGTTTCGGTCGACTGCCCTGATTCAGTGCGGCCAAAGAAGTTGGAAGACTCGCGTTCACCAGACGGACTCGCAGGTCACAACAGCACTCTCCCACTCATTTCTCCCACTCACCACTGCATGTCACAACACACTCGGTGAACGCCACAACGGCGCTTGTGCCAGGCTAGGTGCACTTTGAGGAAGGCGGTCACGAAACAGAGCCAGGTGCCACGGGTTGATTGACTGAGATGAATGGCAGATGCACCACCCGTACCCCCTACTGTGCCAACTTTCTGCGTTTTAGCTGCCCGGGGCTCCGCTCGTTGTTGTGAGGGTCGCTCCTCTGCCCTCCGTTGTTGTTGGAGGGCGACTGCCTCCAACTGCCCAGTAGCATCCTTCACGAGCCTCCTCCACAGAGGCCGATCGTGCCACGGCAAGTCCACTTAGCTCCATATCCTCCTGCACCACATCACTCCATCTCTTCTCTAGCCCGTGCCGCGCCCGTTTAGCCCCCTCCTATCCGGTAAAACACAAGCTTCTTGGGCAGCGTGCGGTGGCTGGGTCACGTATCCCGCATGGCCGGCCACCGCAGCCTCGGCTCACTCACAAACTTATTCAAGCACCACACTGAAGGTCACAACACCACACCCACTCACCGACCCACCTACTGGTTCACCAGACCACTCAACCTCACACTGGCTCACCCGACCACTCACCCACACACACTGGCTCACCCTACCACTCATTCACACACTGGCTCACCCGACCACTCACCCACACACTGGCTCACACAACCACTCATTCACACACACTGGCTCACCCAACCACTCACCCACACACTGGCTCACCCAACCACTCACCCTTACACTGGCTCACCCAACCACGCATTCACACACTGGCTCACCCTACCACTCACCCACACACTGGCTCACCCAACCACTCATTCACACACTGGCTCACTCTACCACTCATCCACACACACTGGCTCACCCTACCACTCACCCACACACTGGCTCACCCAACCACTCACCCACACACACTGGCTCACCCAACCACTCACCCACACACTGACTCACCCTACCACTCACCCACACACACTGGCTCACCCAACCACTCACCCACACACTGGCTCACCCTACCACTCACCCACACACTGGCTCACCCAACCACTCATTCACACACTGGCTCACTCTACCACTCATCCACACACACTGGCTCACCCTACCACTCACCCACACACTGGCTCACCCAACCACTCACCTACACACACTGGCTCACCCAACCACTCACCCACACACTGACTCACCCTACCACTCACCCACACACACTGGCTCACCCAACCACTCACCCACACACTGGCTCACCCTACCACTCACCCACACACTGGCTCACCCAACCACTCACCCACACACTGGCTCACCCAACCACTCACCCACACACTGGCTCACCCTACCACTCACCCACACACACTGGCTCACCCAACCACTCACCCACACTGGCTTACCCCGTCCACTACACTCGCTCACTCACCTCGTGCACCTTTTCTGCTTCTCCCCCCCCCCCCCCCCAAAGCTCTTGCTCAGTCCAACACACGCGGCGCTGTCTCTCCGTCACGCGGCGAATTCTATCCGCGTTGTTTGCTGTTGGGCGCGCTGGGCCCCGTGGCTTCGCTGCACCACGAACGAGAGGGGGGCGGGGATGAATCGAGAGGGGGGGGGGGGTAAATCGACTCCAGCGATTCGTTAGACCGCGGAAGAATCCCCTGAGGGTCCGCGGTCATTTGCCCGCTTGCAGCGAACGACTGAGACGTAAAGAATCGGAATTTGTATTTAGACCGGAGGAATCCGATGCGCTCTAAAGCTCTTTTTTGTGACAGGTGTCAAGTATGGGGGCAGGTTTTCTCACTCCCCCTCGCCGCAGCCTCGGCTCACTCACACGTTCTACTTAATTAAATAGACCGGGGGGGGGGGGGTCAGGCATTTGTGACGAGGGGGGGTTGAGAAATGTGACGTCACATCAAAATGCGCAACTTCAAATAAATATAGACAACACATTCTACTTAATTAAATATACTTTTTAATATTTTCTCCTACATCAGAGTGCAGCGCCACCTTAAATACGCACTACAATGACAATAGTTTAAAGCGATTTGAAGCATGTTTTATTTGGGGGGGGGGGGCAGAGCTTTGTGACGTCATATTTGGGGGGTCTTACTTTTTGTGGCGCCGTGTGACGGGGGTCAAAATCGTCCAAAATCGCGTGACGTCATTTATGGACGGCCCCTAAGGCCCACTGCACTGCGTAGCTCTTATGCAGAAGTGACTTGGCCAAAAATCATAGTTCAATGAAGTGGCTGATCATTTGGAAATGTATGGTTGCCAAATACTATAAACGAATGTTGATTCTAAATGTGGCGGGGAAAACCGGAAAACTGGAGGACCGAAAAATCCACACGGCCATGGGGAGAGAGGCATGCAAACTCCAAATATATACAGCTGACGTCAGGGTCAGGATTGAACCAACTGCACACCAGGCGAGGGAGTTCACATCTCGCCACCGTGGCACACACCCATGTAAACACCTGGGGGGCGACTTGGGGAGGCCTTCATCCAGCAGTGGATCAATGATGGCTGATGATAATTAGCAGGATGCATTTGTGATACGCTCCTAAATTCCAAGGAATGCAATATTGAAACAATCATTGGCGTTGTTGTAGACAATTACAAAATAACTGCAGACAGCTCCACACACATCCATCCCTCCATACAAAATAAATGCATTCTTTGACGCATCCCATTAGCGGCACTGCCTCCTTCAGGGAGTGCATTATTTCAGCAGCACTTGTTCAACGCAAGCACGAATCATAATCTTCATTGATTCCGCAGGACGAATCCAATGAGCTATGACGCTCTTTTCACAGATGTCCAGTAGGGGCGGGTTAACAAGTTATAACAATAACAAAAAACGACAGGAGTGCAAAGTATAAACTCTGGACCGGTTTTAGACCAGTTTTGACATTGTCTCATCAGCAGAATCAGGTTTCCTGGTGAACTGCCAAATGTTTATAGACTAGGACCCTCTCCTCCAATGGTTACTTTGTTTTATGTGTTCAGCAACGTCCATAATGTATTCAGTATTTACAATTGAGTTCCAAACCTGAATGCAAATTGTTAGACCTTCAATAGTGCTGCTTGTTGCTGGTCACTTGCCATTATAGAACTTTGTGCCAGTCCTCAGCAATTGATTTAAAACAAAATTTATACCGTCAATTTGGTATTCATGCTCTCATTGTTACAGCGTAAGGCTATCACAAAAGAAGGCGCTGCTCTGTTTCACAGTCTGTGGTCACTTCACAGTAGGGAGCGATGTTGCTGCTGTTGTTTTTGCTTGACTTGCATCCCACTGAGATTTTTTGCACACAGCGTTGGTGTACGGTGCTTTTTTCAGGAATATTTTGCTGTTTTTTTCATGGATTTTCTGTTTGCAGTCATATAGTCACTTTAAGATGTTTTCTTGTTCGTGTTTTTTGTTTTTTTGTTTGTTGTGGTTGCACCCGATTCAAGAGCCAAATGGCTCACAGGGCTATACCAAAATAAATAAACTGAAATAAAACTGTGTGTAATCCCAATTGGTTAATTTGCGATGTCATTTTTTAGAATTTGGACCAAAATGCCAGCACACAATGGTCTCCCCGTCTCAAATTACGACAGGGTATCTTTACCGTCCACTCTGAAGCAGATGACGAGTGGTATTTTACGGTTCATACACACAATGCAGTATTAATGATGATGGCCTACCGGATTGGAACTACAAGCCTCTGTAATAAGCGGCGAACTTGCTAACTCTGAGCCACGTCACCATCCCAAAAGTTCGAGAGGGGCTTCCAGGGTAACGAGGTAGTTGCCAAAGTCATTGTCCGGAGGCTGGCATGGTAGAGCGTGGAGAGGTAGTGAGGCTGACATAGCAGAGCGTGGTAAGGTTCTTGAGGCATCTCTAGAATGTTGTGCCACCCGCAGCTCGAGCAGGTTTCGACGGTGGGAGTCAGAATGTCCCAGCTGTGAGAGGCGCGAGCGTGATGCCTGTGTTGCGGCCGTATTCCAACAGCACCTCACTCTCCTTCTCGTACATCTGCAAGCACAATCGCCAACATTTGCCACTTTATTATTACACAGCTCGTCTCAAGACTTTTTTAGGGGGTCCTGCTGAGTTTCCACTGTAGGGAGTGATGTTGCAATGTATAATTCCAATTCAATAAATTTCAGGAACATTTTCAGCATTGGATTTTTTTTTGTAGATATGGTAGGAAAGAAGAGGACCCGGAGGAAAACCATGCAAACAAGGACACATGCAATCTCTACAAGGCCCCCGAGTCAGGACTCCAACCCAGTCCCTTCTTGCTGTGAGGCATGAGCGTTACCACTGCGCCATCGCCGCCCTGCCGCCCATGGTTGATAGGACGGATACAGAACTGCTTCCTCACAGTCACTGCTGGTGGCAGGGCCTCCACGAGAGACCGATCTGAAGGGTATTGCTCTGTTCTTCTGGGCCGTTCAGGCGCTCTGGAAGAGATAGGAGGTAACCAGGGCCGTCTATAGGGAGATAGGGGACCCGGGGCAAACCCCACTGTGTTGGGCCAGCGGATGCCTTAAAACTAAACGGTAGGTATTACATCTGACAGCGTGACATCGAAGCGTGGTGTCCCCCCAAAGTGCGGCGCCTGGGGCGATCGCCCCGATTCGCCACCGCACCTGACTTGCCGATCGAATAACTGTGGTGCACACCCAACTGCCATGCCAGGAGACTGAATCGACATTTTTCACGTCTTCCAAGATCACCGAAAAGCCACTTCCTGTGAATTAAACGATTACTGATCACGATGTGTTATTGATGTAGCAACCTCACTTTACTCCGGGGCATTTCATAGGATTGTGCATGTGATCTTAAACAAGTGAAAGGGCACCCCCAGTGGCAGTGGAGGGGCACAAGGTGACTCGGAGGGCCTCGCCTGCCAATGGGTATGAGTCCACCACGAGTACCAAGCGCTAGCTATAAAACCACTTTGGAACAGAAGGTAAAGTTGAGTGTATTTGAGGCAGGAAGGCTATCGGCATTATGGTAGGGGTCAGAGAGCTGGACCCTCGGTAGCTAGGAAAGAAGTTGTCATGCATTGGATCCCAGGTGACTGCGCCAGATGCTAGGAAGCTAGGAGAAGAAATGCACAAGTCGGGAAGAGAACATGGCAGGTGAGTGTTGTAGTTATGATAACGCAGCAAGGGGGAGTGCCAATTGCCGAGACAGGCAGAGCAGTTGGTGGGAGACTGTCAGGCCAGCTCTGTGGGTCACTGTGAGAATGTGGGTCTCTGTGAGTCTACGGCTAGATGGTGAGATACTGTCAGAGCAGACCTCACCTGAGGGATCTGGCGGAGGCTAGAGAGTGTTGGAGGCATTGGTGACTCTGGCTATCATGGCACCTTGATCTTGAGTGGCAGCGTAGCACAGAACGTCCACTAACGCTCTCTCAGCGAGCACACGCAGCACCAGCCTGATCTCATGTACATGCACAGTACCTCACCTGCTTCCAATCGGCCATGGTATCGTGGGTGTAGCCCAGTAAATGGCACATGCCATGTAATAAAGTCACCTGCGAGGGCACACGACACATACTAATCATCGTTACACGCGCAAATAGTTAACGATGACTACATATTAGTGTAATGCTTGTTAAGCCAGGAAAGCCTTACTGAGTCTCAAACTCTTTCAGGAGGGTCCTGCTAAGTGTTCACAGTATGGGGGGTGATGTGGCTTTCTTTAATCTTCTTAGAGAAATTTGAGATGCAATATTTATCATTTGCCAAATTTTGGATGACACCGGCAGACGATGACCTGCGTTTTTAGAATTAAATCACGGGATCTTTGACTTCCACTGTGCAGGAAACGGTGCATGGTGTTTTTTTTATTAATCCAGACCGCAGTATTAACCAGGGTGACCGCCATCATTCAACTACAAACTCTCCAACAAGTGACGAACGCGCTACCCCTGCACCAGTGGTAACGCTCGCGCCTCAAAGCAAGAAGTATCTGGATTTGACTTTCAACTCTGGCGCCTTGTGTGGAGTTTGTATGTTCTGCCCCTGTTATGCATTAATTTTCTGAGTCTCAAGTTTTTTTCCCATAGCTAAATGGACAAAAATTCAATTGGTATTGGCTAAACATACAAATGCTGAGAAACTGCAATTTACCAAATTTGGAATTACACAACAGCAACATTGCCCCTTGCTGTAAAAACTTGGCAGGAAACTCTGGAAAAATACGTGGTATGCGAAGTACATCGTATCTCGCCAAACTTTATCGGAATTTTTTTTCTGAATGCGTTTTTTGCTTAACACGGCACTTTTCAGGAATACATCTACCTCTTCAAGTACTTACAGTACTTGATATGATTGGCTCTGTTAGTTGGCGGAGGCCATAGCTGAATATTGGCTTTAATGTACTAACCCACAGCTAACTATGAATCATAACAGTAGTCCTCGTGGTGAGCACGCGTTGTGAGCCCTGGTGGTGAGTGCACGTCGTGAGTCATGGTGAGTGCGCGTGGTGAGTCCTTGTCGTGAGCCCACGTGGTGAGCACGCATGGCTGGTGCTCGGCGTACTTGGGGAGTCCGCCTGGCCGGAGTCTCGCTCACCGTGAGCGCATCATGGAAACGTTCTCCTGCACGCAGGCTCTGCTGGATGTAGCTCACCCCCAGGTACACATCCCCCAGGTTCACGTCCCCCAGAGAGTCCATCAGAGAGTCGTCCGCGCCGTCCTTGGCTTCCGGCAACACCCCTGGAGCCACGACCTACGGGGACACCCGAAGGGTTTGCAAAGTTGACAGCCAATCAGCCCTCCGGGGGTTGAGGGTCAATAAAATAAGTTCCACTTTTTGCGGCGAGTCAATTGCCAGCTGAGCTACATACAGACTCGCCCCTGCCACGTGAACGTGTAATTCCATGGCTACCACTGAAGGACTGTTAAATACAGTAGACTCTCGATTATCCGCGCTGACAGGGAGGACGGCCACGGATAATTCAAAATCGCGGATAATCCAAAAATACAAATTTTCCGCGGATCTGTGCAAAAACTAACGATCGACTGATCAATGTGCGTGCTCAGTGATAACACTTTCCTGCTTCCCCGCAGAAGAGTCCGCCCACTAAGTGGATCGCAGAGCCACGCCAATCAACATCAGACCCCACCTACTAATGTAAAGATCTGCACCTACTATACTGGAGGCGATCACGTGGAATTTTGTATTAACCGGAGCACATTTGTTTAGTTTAAGCACGTGACTTGTAAAAAACATTTCCAAGAATAGCAATGTATAACTTTTTAGATTATTCATTTGGGCTTAAAGGAAAATCCATGAGTTATTCATTCATGTCAAAATCTCAGGTGCGCGGTTAATCCGCAAATCGGAGAAACGGCACGCAGATAATCGAGCTTTACTCATTTGAGCAGCAATCACTTTTGACTGACAATGTGAGTGACGTTCTTTCAGCCAGTGGTTTGAATGAATGAATTACATCACACCCATGATTGTAAACAAGATATGACGTCACCCCGGCAATGTGGCGAGAATACCAAACATGAACGAACGATTCCACCGGCGCGGCACCTGCGCGTAGGGGAAGGCCAGCACATCAGTGGCGCGGTCTTCCCCGCGGTAGTGGAGGTTGAGGTTGCGGATGCGACGCGAGGAGACGCAGAGTGCGGAGAGGAGGAGGCGACGGGGAGGTGGAGGAGGCGCCGAGCGGCCAGTCACAAGCAGCACGCGCAGCAGCAGCTCCGCGTCGCGCCGCAAACGCGAGCGGGACACGGGCACCAGGGCCTGCGCGTTACGGATTAGCACACTCATACCACCACTAACTACCGCCATAACTAAACTAATTGCACGACCACAACTATCGCAACCAACTACCAATACAACTCACCACTAACTACCACCGCCTAACCACGGCGCTTGTGCCAGGCTAAGTGCACTTCGAGGCCACTTGAGGTGTCCGGAGGCTCGCTGCTGGCAGGAATTTCACGGAACAGACCGTGCAGGTGCCGTGGGTTGACTGGCAGATTTAGGCGACGGGACAGACCGCGCGTTTCTTTAAGAAACTAAGTACCTCTAGCACCACCAACTTGTACCATTACCACCACAGCCTCCATTCCCAGGCCGCGGTGCTCGATGGGGGCCGCGGTGCACGATGGGGGCCGCTGGGTGCCGCGGTGCACGATGGGGGCCGCGGTGCACGATGGGTGCCGCGGTGCTCGATGGGGGCCGCGGTGCTCGCGATTCGCCGCGGCGCATTCGGCGCTCCCCGGGAACGGCCCAGGCAAAGGGGCCCCTTAACACGTCGAGCAGCGGCACAGCAACATTCAGCACCGTCTCATCCCGCAGATGTTACTGCAGGCGGCAGGGTGGTGCACATTGTGACAACAGAACGCTCGGTTCTGGGCAGCGAGGGAGCGGTAGTGAGACGTTAAAGCCGCGAGCGAGCCGGCGCAAGTGCGTGAGCGACCCCCTCCGGTTCGAAAACACGCCGTGTACCATTGTAATATCCCAATGCCGAAAAATATACTTGCAGATTATGTACTCAAAATTGATCAAAGACAAACAAACCCCCGTATAGCCTTAACAGAATTTTGGGGCAAGTGCTGTTATAGCGAGCATCTATGAAGGCCGCGCACGGCACGCGAGGGGGTGGGTGGCCAGAACCACGCCCGGCCGCCTTTGTCTCCCTCGTGGTAATATTTTTACACATCACACCGGGTACTCAATTGAGGCTCAGTCGACCTAGGTGCTACTCGCTAACAGCACTTGCCCCAGCAGTCTGTTAAGACTAAACGGAGGATCCTTTTCCATGTATGTGCACGAACACCCGCGTTGGGAGACACGATATTATGTGGGGGCTGACGCCCGCCTCCCCGCGCCAGCGCCCTCTGAGGGACATCGCTAATTGGCTGGCTTACCACCGCCCGGGGTTATCTCTCACACGTACGCCACAAAAACGAACGCGGTGGCGTGCACGCGCGCGCCCCTGCAGGTGCGTGTTTTTCACAAAGGCCGGCGCTAATAAAAAGATACGGCGGCGGTATGAATATGCACGCGTACCTCCCGAGTGATTAAGCTTTAGTTCAGAGTATGCACCGATACTCGGAACTAAAGTTTATCAACGGCGCAAATACACACTACCTGGAGGGGGAATATTTCGCGAGGAGAGCCTAGCCTAACTCTGCCTATGAACCCAGTTACACAAAGGTCCTACCACGTACCTTGAAGCTAAGTCGGAGGGAGGAGGACGAGAGAAGACTTGACCTATCACTGTCTTGCAGCAGCACTCTCTGGCATCACACGGATGCTGTGAGCGGCTCAAATAGGCAGGACGGCAGGGAGAGGGTCTTGACCGCCAAGAGGTTTGAAGACAAGAGAACGAAAATCGTCTGGGGCCCCCCTTTTTATTCTCTAAACTTCAAAGACCCAGGGTGATGTCATACCACGCAGCCAATCGTGCACTTACCTGCGCCCTCGCGCTCTTGTTTCTTACTTTATACCGTGGCTTAATCCCCTCACTTCAAAGGGCCTGGGATGGCGTTTGTCCCGCGCGACCAATTGTGCACCTTCCTGTGGTTACGGCCCCCTTGTTACCACGTCTTTCTTCGCGTGCCACAGCGGCAGCGCCGGCCACCAATTGTCCCTCGTTGCCTATTGTCTGGAAGGGCTCTTGCGCTTTTGCTTGCTTAATATTCCGCCCTCCGTCCTCCCCCCAGTGTTGTGAGTAACGTATTGCGGTTGGCCCAGGGAACCTTTTCTTTCTGCACCCATACAATTTTAAACCAATTTTAGGGGCATCGCAATGTAACCTGTCCTGCGAGGGTCGGCCAATCTCCTGGCACCGGGAAACCGTGGGACTCTGCCTCTAGGGTCCCTTCGAATTAAAAGCCGATGTGCCAGGCAATCCCCCGCCAGGACACTACGTGGGTCCGCTGCGTGCGTGTGTGTTTAGTTCAGGGGCCGGGAGGGAATCGCGGCGCTTGCGGAGTTGCTCCGTGGTCGTGGCACCAGAATTACTATAGCAGAGAGATCCATTCATGGGATAGTGAGAGATGGGCACAACTTTTATTTCATGCTTTCACTTTTTTAAACAACCGTTGTCAAGTACATCCTGCTATATGGCTGAATGCTGGAGAGTTGTGAAAGCAGACCTGAAAAAGTGTGAGGCCTTCCACAATGGATGCCTCAAATATCTGCCATATATATTTTGGCCAAATAAATTTTCCAATCATGAATTGTACTTGAGGACCCAAAGCCGGAACATCACAAAGGGGATTCAACAAGGAAGACTGCGATGGCTCGGCCATGTCCTAAGAATAAAACAGAACCGCATTCCTAAAATGGCCCCTTTATGGATGCCTACGGGCAAATGAAAACTGGGGAGGCCAAAAACCATCTGGCGAAGAACCGTCACCGAAGAGCTTGGTCACTTTATCGAAAGAACCAAGAATATAGATATAGGAGTGCCTACAACTGGCGTGTGAACAGGAGTAATAAAGTGTAAGCAGGTGACTTTTTACTACGTGTCGGTGTGAGTAATTTTTAAGGACACTACATTTGGTGTTAGAAGTGCTGACGATCCTTCGCCGTCATGTCCAAAGCAGCGGTAAAACGTAAAATCCCACCTGTTGCGTCATTCGAAAACGACGCCAAGCAAGACTTCGTTCCTCTGACAGCTCTGGTTATTTCAGTCGGCTCAGGAATGCGTGGCGAGTCCAGCCCAGCCGCCTCCTCCGCAGAGCTGGCTGGACATTGCCGGTCACCTGTGAAGATTGCTGTCTGCCGCCGCTCATCTCTTCTAGCGAATGACGGCTGCGATTTGGACACCAAGACACGCTTCCCGCCGCTGCCATGACCGACATGACTGGGGCGCTGGACCTTCCTGCCATTTTGGTGGCTGCAGCCGTGCTCCAACCGTCCTCCATTTCGGGCGATCCGCCCGCACCGCAGCAGCAGCCGCCAACTTCCAAGGTTGAAGCTGCCTCTTCGCCCTTGCTGGACGCTTCCAAGTTCCGACGGCTACAACCGGTGCATCAGTTCACTGCTGCGAGAGGAGATTGGACGGCTTTTCGTCGTTGATTCGAGGCCGCCTACACCTCGGTGGGATGGACATCCCATTAGGCGCCATCCCCGAGTCGGATATAGGGCACCTACACCGATATGGCCGCTATTTTGGATCCCCCGTCTAATGTTCGGAGAAAATTCAGGCAGCAGTGACGGGGAGAAAACAAGAAGCCGCTGGCTTATCGCAGTGCGCTTTTCGCCTTGGGGCACGCGGCTTTCCCTCGCATGGACAGAGTCGCCTTGGATTCCCTCGCCTTGGAGCGGCTTCTCTCCTTGGCTCGGGAGTTGGGGGTCGCCCTCGCCGTGTTCAGAGGAAGACGACCTGACTTCTCTGAAGGTGGCCCGCGGCATCTAAGCACACCTCAACCTTAAGGACGGGCCGGCGGTGGTGGCCAGTGCAACGGAGCCGGCCGTGGACGACCGGACATGTGCCTCTTTCGCACGGGGATCAGAGGGAAGGAGCGCTGGCCTGCGCCCATCAGCAGAGGAATGGCGCCCCAAACTGAGCCAGCCGCCTGGGCGTTCTTCCCGGACCGCATGGTTGGAATCTCTATGCTCCGAGAACCCCGGACTGACGGAGGTTCAGCGAGCTCAGCTGCGCCGGCTCTTACGTGATTTTTCTGATATAATTAGCTACTTTTTTGCCATCCCCGAGTCGGATATAGCGACCCTCGAGCGCGCCTACACCGATATGGCCGCTATTTTGGATCCCCGTCTAATGTTCGGAGAAGATTCAGGCAGCAGCGACGGGGAGAAAACAAGACGCCGCTGGCTTATCGCAGTGCGCTTTTCGCCTTGGGGCACGCGGCTTTCCCTCGCATGGCCAGAGTCGCCTTGGATTCCCTCGCCTTGGAGCGGCTTCTCTCCTTGGCTCGGGAGTTGGGGGTCGCCCTCGCCGTGGCAGAGGAAGACGACCTGACTTCTCTGAAGGTGGCCCACGGCATCTAAGCACACCTCAACCTTAAGGACGGGCCGGCGGTGGTGGCCAGTGCAACGGAGCCGGCCGTGGACGACCGGACGTGTGCCTCTTTTGCACGGGGATCAGAGGGAAGGAGCGCTGGCCTACGCCCATCAGCAGAGGAATGGCGCCCCAAACTGAGCCAGCCGCCTGGGCATTCTTCCCGGACCTGCTATAGGGGCAGCCGCCCGGGCCACATTGCCATTGACTGCCGCTACGGGACCGGCAGGTTCTCGTCGCCTCCAACCTCCGGCTTCAACACCTCTTCCTCCTGAAATACACAGGCAAGTCCGGATGCATCGGACAAACGGCCGTTTTTGTCCCATCATCCATCTAGCTTAAGCCGCGTGCGGACTCATCCTGTGAAAACTCATCCCGTCGCGACTCGTACACAGGGTGCAGGGTCGTTAGTGTGTTGGCCGCGTGGCGTTGAACAGTGGAACGCACTGGCTCATCACATAGTGGTTGCCATGGCGGGTTCTTCAACAGTTATGGGGTTAATTCAGGGGATCCAGGTTCGTCTGTTGATAGACACAGGGGCCGTAGTGACTATGGTCTCCGAAGCTGTGTTTCGTATGTTGCCTTCATCATCCGATCGTCTTGCCCCCGTGAAAAGCGCTTTTGTGGCGGCTAACGGAGGGAGTCTGGGCATAATAGGTCAAATGTTGGCCTATGTGCAAATTGGGGAAATCTCTTTGGAAAGACATATATTGGTTTCACGGATATTGGCCATGCCCTGTTTGCTGGGCACCGATTTTCTAGGCAGCATGCCCTTGAAAATTCTCATCGACCAGGGGTGTATTGAAATGCCATCAGGACAGCGATTGCTGTTTCTGAATTCCCCCGGTCGAGAGCCATAGCAGAACGCTGTCATTCAAGCGATGGCCAGTCAAACCGTTAAAGTTCCTCCAGGCTCCCAAATGCTCATACCGCTGCGATTGCGCAAAGAGTTGCCTGCAACGGGCCCAAAGGAGGATATCCTGCTAACCCCTTCAAACGCCATGTCGCGATCTCCTTCCCTGGCGGGAGCTATGACTATTGTATCCGCGTAGCGGATGCCGTTCCTACAAGTACTTAATGCGGGGAATGCGCCGGTTGTGGTTCAGGCTGCACTGTCCTGGTGCACGCCTCGGTGACACCTGGTTTCGCAGGAAGCGTTGGTGAAACCAATGAGCCGGATTCCGCATGGTTGGAATTTCTATGCTCCGAGAACCCCGGACTGACGGAGGTTCAGCGAGCTCAGCTGCGCCGGCTCTTACGTGATTTTTCTGATGTCTTTAGCGCCAGCAAATTTTATATTGGGCACACTCCTCTTCTTCTGAATCACATGAATACGGGCAATTCGCCCGTATCCATGGATGATATGCAGACAGCTGATATTATTTCCATGTCGAACAGCCCGTGGGGGGTGCCCATAGTCCTTGTGAAAAAATGTGATGGTAACTTACAATTTTGCGTTGATTTCCACAAGTTGAATAAGATATTGTTAGCGGATGCATATCCCCTCCCTCGTATGGATGACTCGCTAGATGCATTATCGGGCACACAGTTTTCTTTTAACACTCGATTTACTGTCCGGATTTTGGCAATTGCCCCT